GACCATTGATTTCCAAACTCATCTCATTCTCCCCAAAAATTAAATAGCATGCTGAAACCGATGACGTTACCGCCAAGTGATTGCGTGTGTGAATTGTAAAAAGGTTCTTTTGTCCCAGCCATATGAAAAGACTGAGCAGTTGTCGCAGGCAAGGTGGTCCACCAGACTGCTGTAGGTTTGAAAAAACCTGGCGGTAACATCAGCTCTCTACATCTAAGAGGAATGTCTAAAGCCCCCTTTCCAAGTACACTTAGCACACAGTGCGCATTTTGGTACATTGTGGAATTCTCATCTTTCACTGGGTACACATATAATGAGCACAATTTACCTGCGTCTTCCAGGTAGATTTCAGGTGCAATTGTAGTTACAATTGGTGGCGCTACAAATGTTAGTCCCATCAAGCGGGTGATTGTTGGTTTCAGCGTATCAGTGCCAGAAGATTGTGTTGTGCTTTCGACATTGATGAGGGCTACGTTTGTCTTGGGTTCAACTTTCGTGAAGTCCTTGTAACACAGTCTTGGTTTATCCTCTGGATTTGGCTGACTGTGAACCCGACAGGTACCAATTAGTATAAGTTTCTCAACTTGAGTGAAGGACATGCCGGTAAGATCTATACCATTATTACACATTACATGTGTTCGCCAGAAATGCACCATGGTCCTCTCAAAACCCATGGCATTTTGCACAGTAATAGTTTGCAAATGTTATGGATGGATTTTCAATGAGCGTTACAGGTACTCCACCAATAGCATTCCGTTTTCCCACCTCGCAATCTAGGACATCTTCATCTGTTACGCCATCTCTGGAACAACTACGGATTGTCCAAAACAGATTTCCTGTTCCTCTTCCTGAACATGTTTTGTATTGGAGTGCTTCTTTTTCTCTCAACAAGGTACTCTCTATATTCTTATATTTATCACATTGGGAAAAGTCAGATATGTTTGAACCAAGACAGTTCTCAAAGTAATCAAAGCAGCAGTCGCCGTAGAGGAGGCAGCTGCTGTCACAATAACAATGGGACATGGCGTTTGGATTCATTCTGACCGGAGTGGTCCCACACTGGTCTGAGTTGTGGCAGGACTCGTATTGGCAGTTAGGGGCCCCTTGATAGCCGGCAATATTGATGTAGGAAGGGTCGAAGTTGGACAAGGAGGCAGCATCTGAAACATACCCCAGTGGGTTTAACATCACGTGGTAGGTACGCTTGTGTGCCGTTTGGAGCATGACACAAGTACGGGAATGGTGTTTGAGAAGCCAACGAACGCAATCACAACAATTTCAACTTGAAAACAACAGACATGGCACAACCTGTCACAGCGAACTGTCTTCAGTGTTTAACCTAACCAGGAACACCGGCATCTATTTCACACATCTGTTCCCTACATACCGCAGCTACCAAAGAATCCTGTCAGTTTCAGACCTGGCTCTCGAGAAATGTGGTAAGGTGTCAAGGGGATTGAGTTTACTGACAAGATTATTACATAAGAAAAGGAAGATTTCTCGATGTCAACTTCTTTATTGTGAATAACACGACGTTTCGGAGTGTGTGCTTGCTCCATCATTAGGTGATTATCACAATTCAAACTAAGATCATACATGGTGTATACAACTGAAAACAACCACACCCACCGAAATTCATGCTTGAATTACATGCAAATGAATAATGTTCAAAAACAACGATTTTTTCCCTTGTAACAGGAAACAACTGCATGTTTCTGAAAGGGATGTGTGGTGAAAAAACCCGTCGTTTCCAGAAAGCGATATTAAAACTTCGGTTGACGAAGGTTCATGTTAAAGTTAGGGGGTGGGTGTGAGTTTAGATCGTGTTAGTGCTGCGATCTAATTGTGGAACGGACCTCCGAGTTCAAATGGCAATATGGGAACAAGCAAGTTTCGCATACAGTTCACCGTTTGTTTTCGAACCGTGGCAAATTTAAGGCATGGCGGTAAGAAAACGTCTTTGTGGGATATCTCCTGGGGGAATACCTGTCGGCTGTGGGCACACGACCACTCAGTCGATAAATCAAGCCTCGTTTGCCCCTGGCTCTACATGTTATAATGTTTCAGTCGCGGAAAACATATGCGGGGCCGAGTCACTTATATCGCTAAAATATAGCTTGGCTTAACAGGGCGACGCGCACATAATGAAGACGAGAACCAGCTTACCGGGAGAAATACTCTTTACAAGGCGCACATTTTCAGATTACTATTAGCGGCAAGCGGAGGATCAAACTCGCGTTTTCATTCTAAGTAGTTAATCTAATTAACAAATGCTATACCACGGGACAAATACTAAGTTTTCATTAACCATCTCCTGATTGTCTACCATTATACAAAGTAGTTATCTTGTGAAACTTGGAAAAAGGACGGATTGTCCTAAAATTACAACATATTTAGTCGCTAAAACTGATAGCTATCTCACATATAACTCTAAATGTCAATGGGGTGCCTATCCCAAGGCTTGCAAAAAGGTGTTGAAAAATGAAGGGGTGCACTATACTAAGGATCCTAAAGAGTAATCCTAATAATCGTTCAGGGCTGATTGGTCAGAAAGGGAACCAAGGGCTCGGGATGGAGTCAAGTGTAACCATCCCTAACTCTTCCACAACAGTCACAAGGATTATAGAGTTAGGACAGTTTGACCCAAATACCCACGATGATCCAGGTAGGAATTGTTCTTCAGGAACCCATGGATGTCGTAAGAGGCGACTAAAGGGATCGGGTGGTCAAGGTCACTGACACATTTCATCGTATCCCAATTGTGTAGATCTATACTCGATTATTTACAGACCTCCGTTACATAAATGTCATATCACAGGCGTCAGTTTATTCACTGGATGCTGAGTGCTTTTTGGACGCGATATTTCTTAAGTTCTGAAAAGTTAATGTTGATTTCGGATGGTAGGGAAGGTCCCGCAGAATTCAAAACTGACGCTTGTATATGTGTAGTCTGTTGATTGAGTCGACTTCAAAGTGACGGTTGAGTGAGTGAGTGAGTTAAAATTATACTCACTTCGACAGTATTTCAGCCATATCGTTACTATAAGAGTTCCATATTCAAATAGACCTAGTCAATATAAACACCTCTCAACGAAGGATAGCAAAATTGCTATACTATCACAGATGAACATTTATAACTAGCATGCAATCATACAAAAAGATCACTACACAGAACAATATAAAAATGGGCTATTGATCGTCAGTCACCGAAAAGTGACCTTTGAACGGGAGAGAATCCAGGAATCCAGGATGTTAAACAACAATCAACCAAGCAAACAAAGGTTCGATCCCCAAAATGTGTTCTTCAACTGCGTCCGGTATATCGGGGTCGCCGTGAGCGAGCAAGGGCTGCCGCGGTAATACAGGGATACAAACATGAACTGTACCCATTCATAATGAACACCCACCACCCCAAAATATAAAACAACAAAACAACAACTAACAAACAAACAAAGCAAACACCGGAAAATCACTGATTCATTTGTTTTAAAATTAAGATTTCAATTTCAGTCCAAAGTTCAGTCAGAACTAAATTCTTGATAATGGTATATTGTTTTGCGTTTTTTACTTACCTACATGTCCTTTACCGAAAGATATGATTATAATCTTACCCAGTCTCCAAATCCAGGGAAGCATGAAAAGGATGCACTTCTCCATCCTGACATCATCCGCCTTACAACTGTCTCTGTGAGACCAACTGGTGTGTACAAACTGCAGCTTCGGTGTGCGGGAAAGTGGAAAACGATGAGTAGATCGTGATAGAAACAAGCACAACTAATTCCACTGGACAAATACTCTTTGGAGTCATACATTTGTTACCAAGGAAAGTGGAATTACGATAAGAATGTGATATTGGTTTGGAATATCTCTAAGCCCAAAAATGATTGCTTGATGATGTCGTGCAGAATTTGTTTACTTTAATTGTATGAAGTCACGATAAGGGTTTGTTTTTATTATAACAATAGAAATGTTGGAAAGGGGAATGGCAGTTAGGCATCGCATGTGCATACGATGCACGCAGTTTGAGACTCAGCACTGACATGAGATGCTTGAAGGACAACAGTTAAAGATAAGACATGCTTGAAGGATAAGGCTTCAAGGTATCAAAATGCTAGAAGTATGTAACATGTGTCCCCAATGCTATTACTCTGTAATAAACGTCTAGTTCTTGTAAAACCGATCTTGAGGGACATTCCTTAATACTTAAACCTTATTATCATAGAGAAATTTGAACCCAAACGTCCTAGTTTTCTCTCCCCGTGTCAGTGTGGGGTGATAAGCAATCCCCATGGGGAATTCATATTCACCCTAGGAAGTAAGTGACTCGGGAAGATCGGATTACAACTGGTCTGCGGTCAGACAAATAAACTTAATAGATGCTTGTTGTCGTGTCCAAGTTTCGTAGATCCATGCTCATGACGTCAGTCACTGGATTGTCTGGCCCAGACCCGAGTATCTATATACTTTAATTTTGCTGAGTGTGGTGTAACACAACAAACAAATACAACTTACAAAATCATTCGAGTATCTGAATTCATACTTCAGTACCAAAGTACCAAGGTAACAAAATCAATGAGGGTTTCGACACTGCAGACAACTGTGTGCCACAAACTCCCTGACCAACGACTGTAGTTGACTGCATTAAAGGCTCATACAGAAAACAGAAAAGGAGGGACTGCGTTGCATATATTTTCAATTGCGCTTTACATCAGGAATATCAAAGCAGTATATCACACAATTCTTTGAAACAAGCTGAAACTGAACGTTAGCATTGAATACAAGTAGGAACTGTTTCTCTAGTTACGGGAGGACAGAGTAATGTAGCTAGTGCATGCAAGAATATATCCACGTGTTTATTGAAAGCAAGGTAGAGCAATGGAACATGCAGTCAACATTAACTAACTGAATATTTACACCAGGCAAAATCTGAAGCCACTCTCTGGTGGTATTTCCAAGTAAAATGAAATGTACAAGTTTTTTTTCGGCTCTCAAACCGTTGTCTAGCTAGTGCTGGTGGTTGCAGTAATGCCCTTCGTCTCAGCCTTCTTGGGTAAACAGTAGAGCTTTTCCGTCAACAGTTTGAAGTTCCTTGACTTACAGAGGAAACACACGAAGATGTAGAAACCCTGGAGGCCGTTCAGAACGATCTGGAAATACCACAGAAGGGGCACGTGGGCGAAGGCAGCAATGAAACAGAAGATCCAGGAGAAACCCATGATGAACGACAGACGGACATAAATGCCCAGGCGTTTCTTCTCGTTCTTGCATCTTTTGGAATGTGAAGCGACTTTGGAGGCCGTCTTCTCGATGCTGATCAGAGTCAATATGAAACAGGTTACATTGATAAGCAGGGTCAGAGCCAGTGGAAGACCGAAGACATAGAGAGATGCTTTGGGATTGGCTATCCAACACACGTGATCAGATCCATAGCCAATGCTTATTCCCCACACATGGAAACGATCGATCACAACACACGTGACAACCAAAAGGAAGGGGATGCCCCAACCCACGCATGCGTACAGACAAAACAGTTTGTTGTGACTCTCAATTCCAGATAATGGTGACATGCTTCTCAGAGACCGAGCTAAATCTATAGACAGCAAACTCATCCACAGGAACGTGGATAGCCACATCATGTGGACGAGGGAGGCAACTGCTACGCACATCGGACCAGTTGGTGCTTTGGTCATGAGTTGGAGACCCTGGGCAACAAGGAGAGTTGCTGACAAAGACATTACAATCTTACCAGGAACATTTCTGAGTTGGGGGAGAAAGCTATAAACCAGCAGTACCCCAACAAGAGAGGTCATGGACACTGATGATGCCACAATGGTCAGAACAATCTGGACGTCAGTGTAGTCAAAGAAAACCACCTGGTCAGTGTGACTCCGTGAGAAGTGGGAACAGATGATAGCGCCATGTTTCGTGAGACTGAAGTTCCCTGGGGCAGCATGGCTCCACTGGAAACATAAAGCAGGGAGTCATTGATGAGACTGAACTCAGATTGATGAATGGACAACTTTCCATTTGGACAGTGCAGGGACTCGTCACCCAGATCTGGAACACAGACAATGATGTCCGTCTGATTGTGCGCTGCTGCACTGTCTTCATAATGTATCTTAAACCCTATGTTATCTAACCTGAAGTATGACCGATTTAATCTGGCGTAGTAAGAATCCCTGACTGTGATCAGTTCAACATCTTGGAACATTTTGGGAACATGTTCGTCGGGACAAACCTGTATCGAGTTGCTCACATATTCATCACATTCAGAAACATCATAGGCATTGTTTTTCTTGAAATTATTTAAGGAAAAATCAAAGGCTTTAACATTATGGTGACTGAGTTGCATGGAAACCTGCCTGAACAGATATCTAGTTGCATTAATGAGGGTACTTACTGGGGCGTTAGATTCGACGTTAGCTGTATAAGTGTATGTAGCGTGTTTGTTTACACTGACATTATTCATTACTACACCTGGATGTACTCTTTGCATCAGATTTGTAAGGTTCACACTCACGTCATGACTTATAACGTTTCTGTCACTAAGAAACCGTTCGAAATAACGTTTCATTTTCTTCCTTACAAACTTCCTCATTAACGTGTCCTTCCCACGAACACTGAGAGTGATGGTATAGATGTGAGCACCGTGAGGGTAGAGTTGTCCAGATCCGTCCATCACCTGCTTGTCCTTGAGGATGCAGGTCCCGTTGACGGGGCGCATGTCCATCCCGTCACAGATCAGGGTCACACACTTGTGAGAGTAAATGTTGAACACCTCATTTTCTCTAAGACATAACCTGGTCTCAGTCCTTACCACTCGGCCATTGATTTCCAAACTCATCTCATTCTCCCCAAAATTAAATAGCATGCTGAAACTGTTGACGTTACCGCCGAATGATAACATGGGTGTATTAGGAGTAGGTCTTGTCCCAGCATAAGTAGGATAAATAGCAGGCAGGGTGCTCATCCACGCTGCACTAGATTGGAAAGAGCCTGGTGGTAGCCTCTGTCCTCCACATCTGAGGGGAGTGTCTAAAACTCCCCTTCCAAGTACACTTAACGCGCAGTGTGTATTTTGGTACATCGTGGAGTTTTCATCTTTCACTGGGTACACATATAATGAACACAGTTTACCTGCGTCTTCCAGGTAGATTTCAGGTGCAATTGTAGTTGGAATGGGTGTCGTTAGAAATGTTGGACCCATCAAGCGGGTGATTGATGATATCAGTGTGTGGGTAGTCTCAGAAGAATGTGTTGTGGTTTCGCCATAGACGAGGGCTACATGGGTCTCGGGTTTAGCTTTGGTGTAGTCTTTGTAACACAGTCTTGGTTTATCCTCTGGGTTTGGCTGACTGCGAACCCAGCAGGTACCAAGTAGTATAAGTTTCTCAACTTGAGTGAAGGACATGCCGGTAAGATCTATACCATTATTACATATTACATGTGTGCGCCAGAAACGCACCATGTTCCTCTCAAACCCATGGCATTTTGCACAGTAATAGTTTGCAAATGTTATGGATGGATTTTCAATGAGCGTTACAGGTACTCCACCAATAGCATTCCGTCTTTCCACCTCGCAATCTAGGACATCTTCATCTGTTACACCATCTCTGGAACAACTACGGATTGTCCAAAACAGATTTCCTCTTCGTGTTCCTGAACATGTCTTGTATTGGAGTGCTTCTTTATCTTTTAGCCAAGTACTATCTATATTCATATATTTATCGCTTTGGTAAAGGTCAGATATGTTGGAACCAAGACAGGTTTCAAAGTAATCAAAGCAGCAGTCACCGTAGAGGAGGCAACTGCTGTCACAGTAACAGAGGGACATGGGGAGGATAAGGTTTGGATTCATTCTGATCGGAGTGGCCCCACACTGGTCTGAGTTGTGGCATGACTCGTAGTGGCAGTTAGGGGCCCCTGGATAGCCGGCTATATTGACGTACGAAGGGTCGTTGGGCAAGGAGGCAGCATCTGAAACATACAGGAGAGGGTTTAATGTCGCGAGAGGTGATGAACGTGTATGTGTGGGATGTGGGGTGTGGTGATGCGGATCATGTCCGTTTGCTGTTATTAGCCCACTGAGAACCACATAAACAGACATGAATGGTGCTCGACAAGCGTACCCATTAATGAACAAAATCAGTAGTATTTTCTTTTATTGAAAACAACAAACTGTGTGAACGTACCACTCACAGCGAACTGTCTTCAGTAATCACCTGAAACCAGGAACACTCAGGATCTATTTCAACACATCTGACTCCTTCACTTAAAACAGCTGCTTAAGAATCCTGCCTGTTTCAGACTTGGCTCTCGAGAAATGTAGGAAGGTGTATGGAGATTATTGTTTCTGACATGATTGTTACAAGCATCTTCCAAGTGGTGCGGACTTATATCGGGTTTATTGTGGGAAATGACTTATTTTTATTTCATCGTTACATATCAATTGGTTTACAGATCCTCCGAACTCAAGAAAAAAACAACTTGTAAAAAGTCAGAATGCTGAGGGTATTTTATGTGTTTTAAAATGATATTTGTTTTGTATGTTGACAGAACAGAACATGACAGACAATCTCCTCCCGATGCAAATCAAAGTAAGATCACACATGGTGTATACCACTGAAAACAACCACACCAACCGCATCAGATGCGAATAATTAATATTCAATAACAGCGACTTTTGATAATGTGCATAAGGACTTGATTCGTTCCTTCCTGGTAACAGGCAACAATAGCATGTTATTGAAAGGGATGAGTGGTGAACCAAATGAAACAAAAAGTCGATCGGCCCAGCTTCAAAGCGATCTTGACGTCCATTGACGTCCATTGATGTTAAAGTGTGGGAGTTTCCATGGGGTTAGTCCTGCGATCAAAATGTGAGACTGACCTCGGACCTCGGGCAGCGTCGCTATGATATATTGGCATAAGGTGTCGACGTGCACCTTATGCAGCCGAGAAACAGCTCAGCTGGAGAAATGCACTTTCCCAGGCGCACATTTTCCGATTGCAGTTAGCTTGGAGCTGAGGATCAAACTGGCGTTGTCAATCTAATTAGTGGAGTTAATCTAATAAGCAAACGCTATACCACGGGACAAATATTTAGGTCAACTGATCATTTCCCAATTGTCTACTTTTGCGGAAAAACCAAGTAGTTATTTTCTGGTGAAACCTGAAAAAAAGGACGGATTGTCCTACAATTACACTAGATTTGTCGTTAAAAGCCATAGCTAACCCATACCTATCTCTAATTGTAAATGGGGTGCCTATCCCAAGGCTTGCAAAAAGGTGTTTGAAAATTAAGGGATGCGCTTAACTAAGAATCCTAACGAGTAACCCTAATAATCGGCCAGGGCTGCTTGATCGGAAAGGGAACCAAGGGCTAGGGATTGTGATTGATCTTCAGGAACCCATTGATGTCATAAGAGGCGACTAAGGGGATCGGGTGGTCAAGGTCACTGACTTGGTTGACTCATTTCATCGTATTCCAATTGTGTAGATCTATACTCGATTATTTACAGACCTCCGTTACATAGATGCAATATTCCGGCGTCGGTTAATTCCCTGGATGCCAAGTCTTTTTGGACGCAATATTTCATGTTCTGAAAAGTGAATGTTGATTGTGGGAGGTATAAGAAATCAATTCACAGAATAAGAATAAGAAAATGTGACGACTGTATTTGTGTAGTATGTTAAATTTCAATCGACTTAAAAGTGACGGTTAAAGTGGAGGGACATATATGTCCCTCTGCAATCCAGGGAGTTAAACAACAACCAACCAAACACAAAGGTTCGGTCCCTAAAATGTGCTCTTCAGCTGCGCCCGGTATACTGACATCAGCGCCGTGTGGGAACAAGGGCTCCTGCAGTAGTACAGGGGTACAAAAAAGTACAGATCTGTACCCATTCATAATGAACACCCCACCCTCATCCCACCCAGAAATATATAACAACAAACAACAAGAAATAAACAAAGCAAACAAAGATTCATTTGTTTTAAAATTAAGATTTCAAATTGTGTTTTCAATCGTTCAGTAAGAGCTGGATTCTTGATAATGGTATATTATTTTGCAAAATACATATATGTTCACTCAAATGACATGTTGTTCTATACACCTATACGTCCTGTTCCATAAGAAATGATTAAAATCTTACCCAGTCCCCAAATCCAAGGAATCATGAAAAGGATGTACTTCTCCATCCTGAGATCATCCGCCTCACAACTGTCTCTACGAGACCAACTGGTGCGTACAAACTGCAGTTTCGGTGTGAGAGCTGTCAGTGTTTAACGACGAGCAGATCGTGATAGAAACAAAACTAATTTTACTAGACAAACACTTTCTGGAGCCGAACATTTGTTACCATGGAAAGTGGCAGTACAGTAAGAATGTGATATTGTGTTGGATTATATCAAGGCACAAACATTATCTCTTGATGATGTCGTGCAGAATTTGTTTACTTTAATTGTATGAAGTCACGATGACGGTGTGTTTTAATTAATAAGGTAATTAGGAATCAGGCATGTGCATACGATGCACGCATTTTGAGAGTCAACAATGATATAAAGGATAACGGTTAAAGATAAGAAATGCTTGAAGGATAAGGGTTCAAGGTATCAAATGCCAGAAGTGTGTAACATGTGTCCCCAATGCTATTACTCTCTAATGAACATCTAGTTCTTGTAAAACCAATCTTTGAAGAACTAATTTTAGGATTCTATCCTCAAGAAAACTATAAAACCACTTCAGTAGATTACCACGTATTCCTTTTGGGTTTAACTTATTTGAAATCACTGAGCTTATCGTATCACGATACATTGATGTGCCAGTGGTATAAACAGCAACATCAAGTACTTGACATTTAGAAATAGGGCACAGCAGCATATTCTTACTGATGGAATACCTACCCCTCTTGTTGACGACAGGTATTTGTGAAAACCTTAGATGTGCTGTGTACATAAATGAATTATTCTTGCTGTTAGAATATCTACCCAACATTTGGTTAAACTTTGAAATGATTTGTGAAAACCTCTTTGTTTTACTGCTAGAAACCTACCAATATATTTCATACTTTAATGATGTTTGAAAACCTTATTTTATTGTATTGTGCGTTAATGACCTGCGATAATGATTCAGTCGTTTTAACAATATTTTAAATTAACATCTTGAACTGCCTATGTATAATGTCTATTTCTTTTATGCCGCCTCATTATTCCCCTGAAACAATACGTGGCTAAGACGTTTTACCAACTTCTGCCTGTGTGTCTGCCATGGCCTACGCCTCAGGGCGTCCTCGCCAGTGGATACTGACCAGTGTGTGCATTGGTACCCCGCCTAAAGGGTTCTTTAACGTGGAAGACCATGAAGATGTTTGTTTACACTACTGATAATATACACATCCATACAAACATAACAAGTTGACTGTTACCTGATCGATATAAAAGTTACCAACTTGACATAAATGAAAGGTTCGTCGATCAATATTTTTCGAGGCTTCCACATAAAATTTCACGAGGATGAAATTGTATAACATGCTTTAAATACGTTCACTCTCCCAAATGCTTAAATGCTTCTTCATATCATCACATAATAGCATGTAATCCAATGATCCAGAGCAACATTCCTGAATGCTTAAGCCTTATTAACATAGAGAAATTGGAAACAACACGTCCTAATCATCTTCCACCAGGGGGTGGTACGCAATCCCCAGGGAATTCACATTCACCTCAAGTGAGTGAGTGAGTTTAGTTTTACGCCACCCTTAGCAATATTCCAGGAAAATCGCGGCGGGGGACACCAGAAATGGGTTTCACACATTGTACCCATTGGGGAATCGAACCCGGGTCTTCGGCGTGACGAGCGCACTAGAGGCTACCCCACCGCCATTCACCCCAAGAAGTAAGTGACTCGTGAAGATCGGGTTACATTTGGTCTGCGATCAGGGAAGTTGACTTAATGTTTGTCATCGTGTCAAGGTTTGGTAGATCGATGTTCATGATGTCAATCAGTGGATTGCCTGGCTCAGAGTATGTATACACTTTAATATTGCTGAGTGTTACACAACAAACAAACACATCATGCCAAATCATTCGAGCATCTGAATTCACACTTCAGTACCAAAGTAGTGAGTGAATATGGTTCTACGCCGCTTTTAGCAATATTCCAGCAATATCACGACGGGGGACACAAGAAATGGTATTCACACATTGTACCCATGTGAGGAATCGAACCCGGGCCTTTGGCGTGACGAGCGAACGCTTTAACCACTAAGCTACCCCAGTACCAAAGTAACAAAATGACTGAAGGTTGCGACACTGCAGACAACTGTGTGCCACAAACTCCCTGTCCAACGACTGTAGTTGACTGCATTAAAGGCTCATACAGAAAACAGAAAAGAAGGGACTGCGTTGCATATATTTTCAATTGCGCTTTACATCAGGAATATCAAAGCAGTATATCACACAACTATTTGCAACAAGCTGATGAAGTGGCTGAGACTGACCCTTACTATCGAATACAATGTAGCAACTGTTTTGCTAATTACAGGATAACAGAGTAATGTATCTAGTGCACGTATTTATTGAAAGCAAGGTAGAGCAATGGAACATGCAGTCAACATTAACTAACTGAATATTTACACCAGGCAAATATCTGAAGCCACTCTCTGGTGGTATTTCCAAGTAAAATGAAATGTACAAGTTTTTTCGGCTCTCAAACCGTTGTCTAGCTAGTGCTGGTGGTTGCAGTAATGCCCTTCGTCTCAGCCTTCTTGGGTAAACAGTAGAGCTTTTCAATAAAACATGAAGTCAACTTTAACTAACCGTAGATTTACACCAAGCACAAATCTAATATCAATGTCTAAGCAACTCTTTGGTAATATTGCAAAGGAAAATTAAATGTACGCGTTTTCTTTAAAGCACTCAGACCGTTTTCTAGCTCGTGCTTGCGGTTGCGGTGTTGCCCCTCGTCTGAGTCTTCTTGGGTAAACAGTAGAGCTTTTCCTTCAACAGTTTGAAGTTCCTCGACTTACAGAGGAAACACACGAAAATGTAGAAACCCTGAAGGCCGTTCAGAACGATCTGGAAATACCACAGAAGGGGCACGTGGGCGAAGGCAGCAATGAAACAGAAGATCCACGAGAAACCCATGATGAAAGACAGACGGACATATATGCCCAGGCGTTTCTTCTCGTTCTTGCAGCTTTTGGAATGTGAAGCGACTTTGGAGGCCGTCTTCTCGATGCTGATCAGAGTCAATATGAAACAGGTTACATTGATAAGCAGGGTCAGAGCCAGTGGAAGTCCGAAGACATAGAGAGACGCTTTGGGATTGGCTATCCAACATAAGTGATCAGATCCATAGCCAATACTTATTCCCCACACGTGGAAACGATCGATCACAATACAAGTGACAACCAAAAGGAAGGGAATGCCCCAACCCACGCATGCGTACAGACAAAACAGTTTGTTGTGACTCTCAATTCCAGATAATGGTGACATGCTTCTCAGAGACCGAGCTAGATCTATAGACAGCAAACTCATCCACAGGAACGTGGATAGCCACATCGTGTGGACAAGGGAGGCAACTGCTACGCACATCGGACCAGTTGGTACTTTGGTCATGAGTTGGAGACCCTGGGCAACAAGGAGAGTTGCTGACAAAGACATTACAATCTTACCAGGAACATTTCTGAGTTGGGGGAGAAAGCTATAAACCAGCAGTACCCCAACAAGAGAGGTCATGGACACTGATGATGCCACAATGGTCAGAACAACTTGGGTGTTAGAGTAGTCAAAGAAAACCACCTGGTCAGTGTGACTCCGTGAGAAGTGGGAGCAGATGATAGCGCCATGTTTCGTGAGACTGAAGTTCCCTGGGGGCAGCATGACTCCACTGGGAATATAAAGCAGGGAGTCATTGACGAGATTGAACTCAGATTGATGAATGGACAACTTTCCACTGGGACAGTGCAGGGACTCGTCACCCAGATCTGGAACACAGACAATGATGTCCGTCTGATTGTGCGCTGCTGCACTGTCTTCATAATGTATCTCAAACCCAATGTTATCCAACCTGAAGTATGACCGATTTAATCTGGCGTAGTAAGAATCCCTGACTGTGATCAATTCAACATCTTGGAACATTTTGGGAACATGTTCGTCGGGACAAACCTCTGTCAAGTTGCTCACATATTCATCGTATTCAGAAACACCGAGTGACACAAATGCATGGCTTTTCTTAATATTACTCAAGGAAAAATCAAACATTTTAACATTATGGTGACTGAGTGGTATGGAAATATGCCTGAACAGATATCTAGTTGCATTAATGAGGGAACTTACTGGGGCTTTAGATTCAACGTTAGCTGTGTAAGTGTATATAGCGTGTTTGTTTACACTGACATTATTCATTACTACATCTGGATTGCCCCTTTTCATCAGATTTGTAAGGTTCACACTCACGTTATGACTAATATCGTTTCTGTCACTAAGAAACCGTTCGAAATAACGTTTCATTTTCTTCCTTACAAACTTCCTCATTAACGTGTCCTTCCCACGAACACTGAGAGTGATGGTAAAGATGTGAGCACCGTGAGGGTAGAGTTGTCCAGTTCCGTTCATCACCTGCCTGTCCTTGAGGAGGCAGGTCCCGTTGACGGGGCGCATGTCCATCCCGTCACACATCAGGGTCACACACTTGTGAGAGTAAATGTTGAACACCTCATCTTCTCTGAGACATAATCTGGTTTCAGTCCTCACCACTCGACCATTGATTTCCAAACTCATCTCATTCTCCCCAAAATTAAATAGCATGCTGAAACTGTTGACGTTACCACCAGGTGGTGACGTGGGTAATTGTAAGGAGGTCCATTGGACCCAATAACATGAGAGGAATGAACAGTTGTCACAGGCAACTTGGTCCCATAGCCTGCTATAGGTATGAAACTCCCTGGTGGTAGCATGAGCCCACCACATCTAAGGGGAGTGTCCAAAACCCCCCTTCCGCATACATTTAACGCACAGTGAGCATTTGGGTACATTGTGGAGTTCTCATCTTTCACTGGGTACAGATATAATGAACACAGTCTACCTGCGTCTTCCAGGTAAATGCCAGGGGCAATAGTAGTTACAATGGGTGGCGTTACAAATGTTAGTCCCATCAAGCGGGTGATTGTTGGTTTCAGCGTATCGGTGTCAGTAGACTGTGTTGAAGTTTCGCCATAGAGGAGGGCTACAGGGGTCTCGGGTTCAGTTTTCGTGTAGTCTTTGTAACATAGTCTTGGTTTATCCTCTGGGTTTGGCTGACTGCGAACCCAGCAGGTACTAAGTAGTACAAGTTTCTCAACTTGAGTGAAGGACATGCCGGTAAGATCTATACCATTATTACACATTACATGTGTGCGCCAGAAACGCACCACGTTCCTCTCAAAACCGTGACATTTTGCACAGTAATAGTTTGCAAATGTTATGGATGGATTTTCAATGAGCGTTACAGGTACTCCACCAATAGCATTCCGTCCTCCCACCTCGCAATTCAGGACATCTTCATCTGTTACACCATCTCTGGGACAACTACGGATTGTCCAAAACAGATTTCCTGTTCCTCTTCCTGTACACGTCTTGTATTGTAGTGCTTTCTTTTCTTTGGAAAAGATACTCTCCATACTCTTATATTTATCGCTTTGGGAAAAGTCGGATATGTTGGAACCAAGACAGTTCTGAAAGTAGTCAAAGCAGCAGTCACCGTAGAGGAGGCAGCCGCTGTCACAGTAACAGAGGGACATGGATTGGATAAGGTTTGGATTCATTCTGACGGGAGTGGCCCCACACTGGTGTGAGTTGTGGCATGACTCGTAGTGGCAGTTAGGGGCCCCTGGGTAGCCGGCTATATTGATGTACGAAGGTTCGAAGTTGGACAAGGAGGCAGCATCTGAAACATACACAAGAGGGTTTAACGTCGCGTGGTAGGTACGTGTGTTTATATAGGCATATGGGGTAGTTGATGCCGTTTCACGTTTGGAGCATCAAACAAGTACGGGAATGGTGCTTGACAAGCCAACGAACAAAATTACGACAATTTGGTATTGAAAACAATAAACATCGGACCAAAGACTGATCTCCATACCTCATCGTACCACTGGCCTCATTTTCACATATCTGTTCATGACTTACAGTAGTTACTAAATAAACCCTTCTCGCGAGAAAATGAGGTCAGGTGTGAGGGATATTAACATTACATTCAAGATTATTACACGTATTGTCCACGTGGTTGATTGCACTCGTCCGGAAATAAGTCGGAGTTAACTATCTATTTTTATTTGCCCCTACCTTACAGTTTATCTGGTTTAATGATTCGCTGAAATAACGATATTCAGAGAAATGAAACTGATGAGTTGTTGTCTATTTCATTTGCAGATTTTTGTTCGCTGACAATTACCTATAGAGGTTAATTGTTGTTTAATGCTGCACTCAGCAATATTCTAGTTATATGGCAGCGGTCTGTAAATAATTGAGTCTGGACCAGACAATCCAGTGATCAACAACATCAACATGGACACGATGACATGTGTCAACCAAGGATCACCTTCAGGCCCACATCACACATGAGCCACTTTAATATGATACAAGTGCAGTGTATAACACCACCAAACAACCACACCCATCATATTTCATGCTGCATGGACTTCCGGTTGCGCATGGGAAGAGATAGGTCTCGCTGAAGACGCGCTCCGCTGCCCTATAGGCTATCGTAAGTAATTCTGCCAAATGACTCAATGAAACACTTCACTGTGAAAACAATACTTGCAAGCAGTTATTAAAGACATTTATAAACGATTATTTAACAAATACGCATAGACTGTGAACAGTTTAATATCTCCAAAAATGACAACACGAGCAAGCTCGGCTAACATGGAGGAGATTGTAAAGTTATCAGAGAAAAGATTACGTGAACTCATCAAAGATGTGAAAACCGAATTGAAAGATTCTATTCTACTAATGAGATTAAACAGAATGTACGTAATTTGAAAACCAATGATGTCATCATGTCTCGGTGCATGATGGTGAACTGACCAACTTTGCGCGGAAATGGCCGCCATTAAACAAGCTCATGGCAATCTTAAACGTCAGTGTATTCTTAAAGACATACACGATAGGAAGACTAATCTCCTTTTCTATGGTCTGCCAGAACCTCCAAATGAAAACGCAGAAAAACACTGTGACACTTAAAGAGTTCTGTATTGACAAACCCAAGTTCAGCCAGGGCAGAGTTGATACCATGTTGATCAAAACCGCTCACATGCTCCCAAAAAGCGAAAACCAGGGGCAGCACCATACAACAGCCCCGCCCAGTATCATTGCTACCTTCGTGAAAATGACGGACCGGGACAGACCTAATCCACAATGTTGAAGAAGCGACGTGCGATCAAGAGCAGACAGGCGACGGAAATACACGAGAAACAGAACGTGTGGACAAGGGTGAGAGTCGTGGATATGGAGGCCGTACTGGAGACGAAGGAGCCGCATACTCAATCTTCTCAATGGAAAAAATATGAATGACACTTTTAAACAGACACTGAGTCTGACTGAACATTGTTTTGTTCGCTATGAGTGACTGTTAATAGCAAATATTGTCTTTTAGTTTGTACAGAGTTTTTCGCTTTTAAAGCATACTGACTTTGTCCTTTTAGAGCAAAGTTCACTTAGAAATTTCGTTTGTGGAAAAGGCACAAGTAGTGCTCATACCACTTGTATAACAATGAACATGAACATCACGTGCAGTCGTAACACGTGGTCGTATCTCGAACGGTACGCAATGCAAGCGTTGCATTGGGATTTGTGTTCTTTCTCTGGATTACTTTGTGATCTGTGCTTTATGGATTTTCACTTGGAATACTTGGACTCTACACAGTGAGTATGTTTTGGTTTGGCTATTAATTTGAGGAATACTATCGTTTTATATCGAATAAACACAACATGTACAGCATTCGTCTATGTCTGAAATAATGTGAATATAACGATATATTCAGTGAGTATGTTTTGGAATTGTTATTAATTTGAGGAATATTACCGTTTTACATCGAATAGATGGAACACGTAGAGCATTAATCTATGTCTGAAATAATGTGAATATAACGATATATTGAGTGAGTGTGTTTTGGAATTGTTATTAATTTGAGGAATATTACCGTTTTACATCGAATAGATACAACATGTAGAGCATTCATTTATGTCTGAAATGTGAATGTGAATATAACGATATATTCAGTGAGTATGTTTTGGAATTGTTATTAATTTGAGGAATATTACCGTTTTACATCGAATAGATGCAACATGTAGAGCATTAATCTATGTCTGAAATAATGTGAATATAACGATATATTCAGTGAGTATGTTTTGGAATTGTTATTAATTTGAGGAATATTACCGTTTTACATCGAATAGATACAACATGTAGAGCATTCATCTATGTCTGAAATGTGAATGTGAATATAACGATATATTCAGTGAGTATGTTTTGGAATTGTTATTAATTTGAGGAATATTACCGTTTTACATCGAATAGATACAACATGTAGAGCATTAATCTATGTCTGAAATAATGTGAAAATAACGACATATTCAGTGAGTTTGTTTTGGAATTGTTATTAAGTTGAGGAATATTACCGTTTACATTGAATAGATGCAACATGTAGAGCATTCATCTATGTCTGAAATATTGTGAATATAACGAAACATCTATATGTGTTTGTTTACTTTTGATGTGTGAACTCAAATCAATAGAAACGGTTTTCATTTTTTAACATTTTGCAATAATGGCAGGATTATACTTTCTTTCCATTTATAATTGAATGATCCCGTGCGGGGGTAAATATCCCCCATTTCTTCTTGGACGGAGGTCATTGTGCCCTTTCTTCATTTCTTTGTATCTATGTTGTTAAACCCTTTATATTCACTTTCATTTCTCACGAGTTGTTTCTATAACACACCAAAATTGTGTCAGATATTGGCATACCAACCTATTTTGATCTGATTCATGTTACTTGCCATTCTACTTTTAATGACACATAAACTTGACATCTTCTCTGCAAATTGCCAAGGCTTGAACAATGACAAAAGAGGATAAATGTGTTCAAAAATATGAAAAAACCGAAAAGGTAAAATTTATTGTATTCAGGATACACACTTTACTGAAAATATTGAACAGAAAGTCAAATTAGAATGGGGCTCTTCAGAAACCCGATTTAGTTCGTATACCAGCCAATCAAGAAGAGTAGCTATGATAATCTTATTTAGGGATAATTTTTAAATTGAAATTCTTAAAGAAATAAAAGACAGTGATAATGGCAACTTTCTGATACTTAAAATAAATATGGAGAAAGAGATATTAAGTATTACAAATGTTTATGGTCCAAATGTAGATACGCTCGACTTATATCATGAAATTAAAAATAAAGTACTAAGTCTAGAAACTGAAACTAACATCATAAGATACTTTCAACTAATTACATATAAATAATTCCAATTCAGAAAGAAGCTATACTTGATATAATGGATGAACTTAACCTTTATGATCCTTGGCGGGAAACAAATTTAGATGTAAAACGATATAGATGGAGAAAACCCAAACTCTTGAAACAAGCACGTTTAGAGTTCTTTCTCGGTAGTATAAATATGGAAAAAATCTGTTATTAGGTCTAAAATAGTTATAGATCAGATCACTCAGTAATATCGTTACATATTGAATTTACATCTCTCGATTTCTGGAAATGTAACAACAGTTTGTTACATGATCCCGAATATGTGCGAGAAAT